AAAGACAATCAGAGGTGAAATTGGGTTTAATGTCGAGTCCGACATTTATAGTGCTAGCCCACTGAGATACCATGCCGTAGTTTAACATGAATACCCCACTCAGACACAGTATACTGACTCCGAGCTGACCAGTCCTTGTTTTGGCCCTTAATGCTGAGCGCCAGACAGGGTAACAAGTAGCATCTCTTAACATTTTTTGGTATGTCGTGGCCGGGGATCAAACCCCACACCTTCTGCTTTTCAGGCAGATGGAGGCGGTCAAAACAATCATAAATAATCATAAGTAATCATACTCTAATAGAATCATCATCAGCATCATCATCTTGGTGCTATGACTGCCATACATAACTGAACCCTGGTTTCAACAATGTGATTCAGTTTTCAGATTACTGTTGAAAATATTCCTGTAATTCGGCTCAACTATTCTTTTTTTCTGAACAAAATATAGAAACTGACATTTTGCATTACCTCTAACAAGCTGACCAATCGATCATTTTAGAATCACCGGTCCTGCATTCTTTATACTGGTATTTGTCCAGTTGAGTATTTGTCAAGCCTTGTTATAGTGCTTTAACTCGTGCACCTGCCTTACCAACAGCAAGCGTAATACTTGTACAGATGTAATTTGATATCATGCTTTGGATTCTAGTTTTAAAATCATCCCAAATTGATACATTATTACTTTTTAAAATTGCAAAAAATGTCACACAAATTTTTTCTCTCACTATTTCCTCCATTCAGATGCTTAAAACACAATCGTCGGCTCTCGGCTTCAACTCAGACAATGTGAAAAGGGAATTTATTGAATAAGAACAAGTTACAAAGGCTATGCAGGGTGTCTGTCCCTAGTGAAGGGGTAGGTCCTGAGTCTATAGTCGTGGACTTATGACACTGAAGGGCAGATCAAGCATTCTTAAAAGGGAGGGGTCCAAAATATCAAAATCCTCTCTGGATCCACCTATAAAACTCATTCACAAAGAACGGAACACCTGTAGTTCTGAGAAGGTTATTCCACATACAAGTATTACACAGTCATTTGATTAATTGTGGGGAGAAAACAATTTGTAACATCATGAACAATGAAAAACATTGTGACATTGTTCTCAACAACCGAATGATATGACATCAGGTGATTTCAGCTGACCAATAAAATAAAACTAACTGAAGACGTATGTTTATCACATGACCTAGTGTGGTATAATGGGGAACTCAGTACTGTTACACTAACGTGCCAGAAAACTGTGAAGTCATTCCAGAATACAATTCATACTCTAAATTCAAAGGAAGAAATCATGACACATGATGTTGGAGAATCATATAAAAATATTTAGCTCTGATATTTGAGCAACTATATTTTAGGTATTGAAAATGCCTTGAATTCGGCACACAAAGGACTCACTGAAGCATGTACTCTCATGATATTTATACATATAATTATGTCTACATGGACATTTCTCAGGGACAAAAGTGACTCAAGGTATAACCTCACTTGAACTTACAGAACATTATGCCTTTCTGTATGCTACAATCGTAAAGTGAGAGATCTGCTGTAAGCCAGATTGTAATACCTGTCAGCTCAGCCTTCATAATTACAATGTAGCTTCATGGTCCTTGGTCCTATCAGAACTTGCCACTCTGCTTGTCTCGAGCTTTGTTTTTCGCTCGTTTCTTGTTAAAAGCTGCACTCAGCAATATTCCAGATATATAACGGCAGTCAGTAAATAATCTAATCTGGACCAGACAATCCAGTGATTGACATCATGAGCATCGATCTACGCACATTTGGGATACAATGACATGCATCAACCAAGTCAGCGAGTCTGACCACCCAGTCCTGTTAGTCGCCTCTTACGACAAGCATGGGTTGCTGAAGACCAATTCTAACCCGGAATCTTCATGGGTCTCAAGCTAAGAATTCTATGGTATGCTACAAGTTAACAAAGTTCCTCCATCTTCAACTGCACTGAACATATCCAAACACATCCTCGACTGTCCAGGGTTAAATACCTACAATCATTTAGGATATATACCTTGGCCCAAATTGCCACAATAGCTTTGTTTAGGAAACATAAAACGTCAGTTCAAGAGAAAGGGCAAAATAGCTGTGTAAATTATATGAAAGGACCACGGAAAATCAGTGATGACACCAGGTGTTTGAGAAAAGGGTAAGCATGTCCTGTCCTGTCCGACTGGCAGAACCTGCATGTCTCCATCACTGATTTAGCACAGAATTTCTCTCACTTATTTGATTGGTCAGCTATTTTAAGCATTGTGACATTCAAAATGGGCTTAAAATGAAACTAAGGGGGCGATTGGTCCAGTTTTATTATCGTAACAGAATGGAGTACTTTGAGGGTGATTCAAACATGGTAACTAGTCAATTGATAACACCCCACTTATTTCAATGTGTACAGAGAAACCTTACTCGTCTGGAGTGTCATAAATCTGAAACCCTTGCTTTCCAGATGATTCTTGTAGGTGAGGTGAGGTGAGGTGAGGTGAGGTGAGGTGAGGTGAGGTGAGGTGAGGTGAGGCGAGGTGAGGTGAGAAGGGTTTAATGTCGCATTCAAGATTATTGCTCTTCTATAGCAGCAAGTGTGCATGTCTGTTTGTACAAGTCCTGTACAATACTGGTTTTATGGTGCTAGCCCACTGAGATACCTTGCTGCGGTGTAACACAGTATACCAACTCCAAGCCGAGCCAGGCAGGGTAACAAGAACCTTCTTTTAATGTGTTTTGGTATGAAACAATAAAAACATCTTGAAAATCAAACCAGGTCAAAATGAATTGTCATTGTTTTCTAGCCTTAATTTCAGTCACAATGACCTTCTATGGCTCCCATCATTGACCCTTCCCTCAACTTGAAGAGGTTGCTAATGGCACTATACATGAGCATGCATGACAGGAAGACTGTTCTCATAGAAGAGCATGATTTGCAATTTCTTAAAGCCATACCATGACAACTAACAAATCTATTTGCCAAAATTTTCTTACCAAATATTTTCATAGGAAGGTTTTTGATTAATCACGCTGCTAATATGAAAAAAATTGTCATAAAACATTATTAAAGTTTCTATTTTGAAATGATTCCACAATTACTGATTAACCATATCTTGCAGCCAACAGAACAACTCTTTGCAAATTAAGTTAAAGTTATGAAAGGTTATATTTACATAATAATCTTATCTATTAAAAAAAACAACTTAAAAAAATTAAATTATTTTTTACCTGTAGAACTAGATACAAACACTGAGCTAGTCAAATTAAAATATCTAATAGAATTTTGCCAGCATTTTTTATCCTTAGTTTGTCAGCATAATACCCAGTGGTAGCATCTAAGATTTGCATCACTTTGGGTTTTTTACCCACACTAATGAAGTAGAGGCATGGCCCTGGATTTTTATAGAGATTAACAGGGTGGTGGTTCATGGAGAAGTTTGAAAACCCCATTCTTTCATATGACTTTCATATGACTTTCATATGACTTTCATCTGACTATAGTTAATCCGATATCAAATTAACTATAATCATATGAAAAAGTTGGTAGTTCTTTAACTTCTCTTCAATATCAGTATACCAGTGTTGTGGACTTCCAATTTCATTTAGTCATGAGCACAGATTTTATACACTATTTGACTGACAAATTTCTGTTACCTAACATTATTTTAACAAAAATCATACCAAACTTAACGAAGTTCATTCAAGTTTTTGTTCACTTTGGTCAAAGCAAGTATTTGCTAGTCACTGCTGTATCACCAGAAAATAAATATTGTATTAAAATATCATATTACCATGACTTTTCCATAAGTTTATAACAACTTTCAATTTTCATAAACTATCCTAGACCTAGGAAACCCAAACTAAAATTTAGTCAATTTTCTGTATATAATGACCCTTAGGAATCCTGCACTTGATATACGATGTGTATAAAGACGACAGAAGTTGAGTCATGGCATCTTTATACTCCTGTCTATTGCTAAGTATCAGGTAATATAGGGGTAAGGTTGGTCTACTGACACGTGTGATAGATGAGCTGTATTAATTGGTCCTGCCTGACTAGCATAATAACATGGAGGTGCGATTTATTTCAAATTGGTCATAAAACGCTCATGCATCATACCATATTTGCTGCAATATGCACCCAGGGGGGGGGCACTTAGGAAATTGAAAAAACGGGGTGCTCTTTAAAACGAGTATAATTTGTTGTCAGAGATTGAGTGGTCGTTAACAAACTTAGTTCAAACGACAATGAAACAATGATTTCAAAAATAATTAAGAGGTAAATATATTACCCTTGTACGCCGCTGTCTTCTGAATATAATCTGCAATACTTACAACAAAATACAGACAGTCGCTTATAAAGATTACTTTCACTGGTCTAGAAGTTGGTCAGGGGTATTTACTGTAGAGGGGTACCTGACACAGCAATACATTAATTTTATGTGAAAACTGGAAAAAACTGTTCATCACTTCAATTTCCGGTGTGTTTACAATATAAGTAGAAAACATCACAGGATCACTGAGTACGTTTAGCGATGTATTTGACAAATGAGGCTTGTCTGACAGTAGCTGTAATTCACAAGATTGATTTATTGATTAATCCATTTCTAAACAGAACATCTCAACTTGTCACATAATAGAAACCACCTTGCATTATTTGTGACTTCAATAAGAAAAATGCTTCGCTAAAATCCTGTTATTCGTGTTATGAATTAAAATGGAGTGTCAGGACCATTCAGGATGTGTTTATTCAATGACTCAGTCATACGTAACATCGCATGTCATGTTAAACATCCCTGATCCAATGATCTCAAATGACCATTAAACTACTGAAAGAGGTATTAACTCACTCTACCTGACTAAACACCAAGGGGTCAACAATACTTCACCACTGATCCAGAAAATTGACATCAGTTTGATGACCGTTGAACGGCATGTCAATATTACCTGCATTAACACCTGTTTCTACTAAGCCGTAATCATCAAAGTGGCCACTCACCTGTATTGCCCCTGCCCAGCAAAGCCAGAATAAAACCCATTTAGGGTTTCTGAAGCGCTGACAACAACCAGGCTTGAATGGTCCCCATCCACATGACCCCCCATCATCCTCAGGGGTGTTTTTCTGGACATACGTCAGCTCATCGATGGGAGACACCGCATTCTTCGACTCCGCCATGGTCCCTTCCATGGCTGTGTAATCCACAACGGGGCGGGCTTTAAGCTTGGTCATGGTGAGCGATCTAGGTCAAGTTATTCAAGCGGCAATTTGACAAGTAGACTTCAGGTGAGATGTAGACAAGCCTTCTCACTCCCTTAACATTGCATGGACTAATCACTTAAGCCCTTATCACATCTGCATAGTTTTCATCAATGTGTTTGTAGGACATGAGACAATTGTAACTGCTTGTCTTCAATGTGGTACAGAAATTAAAATAATATTTAATATTCTGTTGCACCTTATATCAGTGTTTGTCTCTCCTTCACAGATGATCACTGATGAGGACTAATCAATTAATTAATTAATCAATTAATCAGTTGTACCAATATTTTTTCTCACACAAGGTGTTATTTCTCTTCCTGGGCACTTTGTTTATGTACAAACAATTATAAGATTTTCTTGAAGACGATGTGGATGTTGAGGTGAAGGATTCCTATGTCCATCAGGAGGCAGTTTGCCAGTGTGGCCGGGTACATATAGAGTGGTCACACACCAGCTGCATGTCACACAACACCTCCGGCACCGCTGTGCTCCTCCCCATCATTCATCACAGTACCAGTGATGGCTACCTGAAAAAACAAAAGTACATACTGTTTAACACAACATTAATAGAGAACTGAAATATTGAATGAGGACAATCATTACATATACATTCAAACACAAGTACGCATTGTTTACCACAACATTAATAGAGAACCGAAATATTGAATGAGGACAATCATCACATATATTTTCAAACACAAGTACACACTGTTTACCACAACATTAACATAGAAATGAAATACTTAATGTTGGTTGGTTTGTTGTTTAACGCCACACTCAAGAATATTCCAGCTATATGACGGCGGTCTGTAAATAATCGAGGCTGGACCAGTCAATCCAGTGATTAATGTCATGAGCATCAATCCAGGCAATTGTAATGAGGAGATAACTACATATATACATTGTATTACATTGCACACATTTATTACAGACTTTGTACTGTGGGAAATGTTGTACAAACTAATACAATCATCACACCTGAACACACTGTATTACATTGTACACCATTTATTACCAGTAGTCATCACACCTGCAAACATTGTATTAGATTGCATAACTTTACCCAAATACAGTACAGTTATAACATATGTATATACAATGTATAAGATTGTATAAATATTTACTAACAGTACAATGTCATATATGTATACATGGCATAAGATCCATAACACTTACAAACAGAATACTTTTGTTAGAGGATTAAAACAGTGTGTGGTAGGTCAGTGACAGTGCATGTGACACATACTGTATACATAATGTAATACATAAACTGTAAATGATGCTTGACATATGGTCAACAGGAAAATGCCTATTTTAAGACCCCTCCCACACAAATATGTTTACAACAGCTGGAAGTAGAGTACACTATGTGGGTACAATCGATCAAATATATGCATAATTTAAAGTATGTTCTTGTGTATGCAAATAAATATTCTATAAATACTCAGTGGCTAACCAAAATGTTAAGTAAGGCTGAAAAATTCATGGACAGATGCTTTTGTTTAATCACTGTTCATATACCGTGCATCTTGATCTGAAGCTCATTTCTTCAAATCTTTAATCAATTATACAATTCTCTACGCACTAACATTGGTACCTTTCATACGTCTAAAAACCTTGTTATGTCTGATTGATAAATTATTCTGCTATTAACATTTGTCTGCTCGAAATATTTTCTATGTTTGAAAGCCAACTTCATCTTTACAACAGTCATGCTGATCGATACCTCCATTACGAAACACTAGAGCATGATTTACAGATATCCGATAAACAGCTCTATATGTCAACAGATCTGTGTGGAGTTTTTTATTCACGTAACACAGACTGTTGAAACATGACTGGTAAATGTTTCAAGGTCAGTGTGTCAACATGACCCTGTGTCTCACTGTCGCCTAACATGTGAGTGAGTGAGTGAGTCTGCAACTCAGATTGTTTAATTTTGATGTTGTCAGATCATGTTGAAGTAAGAATAACCTCAGCTGATAGCTTTATATAAAATCTTCAACCAGAAACTGAATGTGATACAGACATGACATATGACCATACAAATCTAGCTTATATAAGGAAATAAAACATCCCATATTCAAACACTGATGTATCAGTCACAAATACATCAACAAAGCAATGAAATGAGTTTTACCTGGCTAACAATGCCTATGGTATGGTAAATGCCATATTCACCTTCTTAAGTAAGTAATACCTGGCAAACAATGCCTATGGTATGGTATATGCCATATTCACCTTCTTAAGTAAGTAATACCTGGCTAACAAGGCCTATGGTATGGTATATGCCATATTCACCTTCTTAAGTAAGTAATACCTGGCAAACAATGCCTATGGTATGGTATATGCCATATTCACCTTCTTAAGTAAGTAATACCTGGCTAACAAGGCCTATGGTATGGTATATGCCATATTCACCTTCTTAAGTAAGTAATACCTGGCAAACAATGCCTATGGTATGGTATATGCCATATTCACCTTCTTAAGTAAGTAATACCTGGCTAACAAGGCCTATGGTGTGGTATATGCCATATTCACCTTCTTAAGTAAGTAATACCTGGCTAACCAGGCCTATGGTATGGTATATGCCATATTCACCTTCTTAAGTAAGTAATACCAGGCTAACAAGGCCTATGGTATAGTATATGCCATATTCACCTTCTTAAGTAATACCTGGCTAACAAGGCCTATGCAGTGGGCCGTGACATGAGCATCAATAAGGACATGAACAGTAAAGATATATAGCCATCTACTGTCTGTTCATACCAGGGGAGCACAGTGAGTGAGTTGTTCAGTTCAGTTTGGGGACATCACTGATGGTGCTTGACTGGGAATGAGCTGTTGGGTATGAGTCATATCACAGAGCATCAGCTTAATGTGGGAGAAAAGCGTTGCAGGTGATAGTTCACCACTGCGGTGAACCATAGATTTGGTGCTGACAAACCAAAGATTGTAATCACGGAGAATCTGGGATTTGTACACACGATCATTTAATCCTGTTAGCATAAGGGATGCAACTCTGTACAGCGAATTGTAGCACCTCAGACTACAGGACCCTGGTTCAGTGTAAGGCTGATGACAGACTTAGTAATAATATAAACTTGTGAATGCATGAATTAAGGCACACAGCCGGGGCAAATAATGCCATATCAGTGGTTCTTCATTTATCCCATATCTAATAAGCATATCTAACACTCCATCGTTACATGAAGTGACGGAAGGTATCCTTCCTACATTTAGGACATTTTATTAGCTGAGCTCTGAAAATCACAACTGAAAACCAAACATTTTGAAATTAATATAATTCATTCCTCATCTCCAGGCAAGCCGCTACTCTCCAAGCTTTGGTATGGACATATAATCCTAACCACCAACCAGATGTTTCTGACAGTATTACTGGCTACACATATGGACTGTAGCTAAACAAATATACATGCATATATCACATTTCTAAATGCTGATCCTATCGTAAAAAGATTAATTTCATGTTCCTTTGCTTGAGCCAACTGATGAAATAGGAACAGCTCATATCTAAAGCTTAAATATAAACACGCAATTTCCTCCCTAAACAGAACCAGTTGAATTACTTTAAGATATGCTTTTTGGTAAATATTTACATGTGAAGTGAAATTGTGGTCAGGTGTTTTTAACTCAGTGTGGAAAGCAGGCGTAAGTGAAGCTTATGTATTACGTAAATCCAGTCAAATGTTTCACAGATAGGCCAACCCTAAATATTACCAATGTTTCACAGATAGGCCTACCCTAAATATTGCCAATGTTTCACAGATAGGCCAACCCTAAATATTGCCAATGTTTCACAGATAGGCCTACCCTAAATATTGCCAATGTTTCACAGATAGGTCTACCCTAAATATTGCCAATGTTTCACAGATAGGCCTACCCTAAATATTGCCAATGTTTCACAGATAGGCCTACCCTAAATATTGCCAATGTTTCACAGATAGGCCTACCCTAAATATTGCCAATGTTTCACAGATAGGTCTACTCTAAATATTGCCAATGTTTCACAGATAGGCCTACCCTAAATATTGCCAATGTTTCACAGATAGGCCTACCCTAAATATTACCAATGTTTCACAGATAGGCCTACCCTAAATATTACCAATGTTTCACAGATAGGCCTACCCTACATATTACCAATGTTTCACAGATAGGCCTACCCTAAATATTGCCAATGTTTCACAGATAGGCCTACCCTAAATATTACCAATGTTTCACAGATAGGCCTACCCTAAATATTACCAATGTTTCACAGATAGGCCTACCCTAAATATTGCCAATGTTTCACAGATAGGCCTACCCTAAATATTACCAATGTTTCACAGATAGGCCTACCCTAAATATTGCCAATGTTTCACAGATAGGCCTACCCTAAATATTGCCAATGTTTCACAGATGGCCTACCCTAAATATTACCAATGTTTCACAGATAGGCCTACCCTAAATATTGCCATGTAAAACAATAGAAGTGAGTGCATTTTACCCACTTTCAGCAATATTCCAGCAATATCACAGAGCGGGACACCAGAAATGGGCTTCACATGAATGTGAGGAATCAAATCCAGGCCTTCGGCATGGCGAGCAAACGTTTTAACCACTAGGCTACCCACCACCCTTAAAACAATAGAATGTAAGGTTGTTTGATTTAACTATATCATTAATTCAAATATCTACTTTTTTTATTCAATGCCTTTATAGGTCAATATTATTATATAAATGTCAAAAATACATATTTAAAACAACCTGTCAATTCTATGTAGTTTCCATTTAGCCTTCTGTGTTTTGTCATATTGGTCTACCAATTTTATTAAACAGGAAACATAAATTGTTGGCTTCATGTTTACAATCTGTGACTGAGATGATAAAGATTTCAGAAAACACATAAAAGTGTGAGGACTGCACGAGGCTGCAGGTGTTTGCTGCATGATGCACTATTGCACCATCAGGCGACACCACTACACCATCACCTGTTGGGGTCGATCACCAATTGACAGACTGCCATGTCCAGATAAAATCATAACTTTATATTCTCACTCTGTAGATCAACATTTGACGATACACTACATCAAAGTATATCTTAGGAGAGCTATTTCTTCATGAATTTATGTGCAATGAAGTGTTATGGTGATATCAGTTTCATAAATACTGCTAATGCTACTTCATGGCAATTTGAGGTCTTTTCATCTATAGTCTGCTATTACAGAAACAGGTGTTGAATGATGCACATGAGAACAGTGTCATGGAGCTGTCTACGTATATAAGTGAAATATCCGGATGGTGTCAGAATGAGGCAATAATGTTGATATGCAGTGGTGTTGATGCAATAGTTTTTTTTTGTGGCTAACAACTTTTTTTATTCTTCGTAACGACATTTCTGACTGACTGACTGACTGACTGACTGACTGACTGACTGACTGACTGACTGACTGACTGACTGACTGACTGACTGACTGACTGACTGACTGACTGACTGACCCTGGAAATAACTCTGTCTATGAACTAC